TAGTATTTCTTTACACTGTTTTCTGCTGGCGCTTGAACACACTTCCCTTCTTTTTTTCTACAACAAATGGCCAAGCAAGCGCAGACACTGACAAGATACGTGATACAGAACAAGACCAAACGCGATATCAGCATGTCTCCACACAGTAAACAAAACAAGCGTTTCCTAGCAACGACAACTGCACTAAACACTAATGAGGCAAGTAACTACACTCACGAGCTGCTTTTAACTTCTGCTGATAAAGACTGCTTCTCTCAAAGAGTATTTCTTTACACTGTTTTCTGCTGGCGCTTGAACACACTTTCCTTATTTTTTTCCACAACAAATGGCCAAGCAAGCGCAGACACTTATATAAATGTTTATACATGTTAATATTTTCAAAATATATACTCTATGTGTGTGTGTGTGTATTTATATATACATAATAAATATACACAGTACACATACATATATTATGTAAACAACAAACTTTTATTTTGGATGCGATTCATCGCGATTGATCGTTTGACAGCACTACATTTTGATGCTCTCCTGAGCGCAAACTCGCACTGGAGCAATTGCCTAATCTGTTTCGCCAAAATCCTGTTTTTACAGCTTCAACTGAGGGTGCTCTCGCTCGCTTTCGTTAGAGGGTGCTCAACACACTCTCAGCCCCACAGAACTGGTCCTGGCCCTCGAAATTAGACCACTGATCTATATATATTAGGGATGTGCATCTCATGACATAGGCCGATACGATACGCATCTCGATGCATAGCCAACGATACGATACATTAAAGATACATATGAAGCAGCTACCGATGCGATGCGATGCGATGCGATACGATACGATTGACCCCTATTACGATGCAGTGCGATCTGATTTCGATTCGATTCGATTTAACACAATGCGATTCGATCCAATATGATGCATTGGAAAAAAATATGATCACTTCTAATGCCTCGAGGACTGTTTCATAAAACAAGTTTACCAAATAAGCCTGGCTTATTTCAGGTAGTCTGACTTATTGTCAAATGATTTGGTTCCATAAAGCAAATTTAACATAGGCCTAGATCTATGGAAGCATATAGGTAGCGAAATTCTATTTAAAATGCAATATGCAAAATGGCAATGTAATATTCAAAATGGCTACGTATTTCTGTATTTAAATTGACATTTTCCATTACCCATACATGCAAAGTTTGGTGCAAAAGTAAAATGAAAATTAAATTATATAATTTACATTTGCCATTTCCAACATTCCTGCACATCCCTGTACTTCCCTCAATAAGTGTATTTAGGTGTTGTAGGCTAATAAGTCGTTCTGAGTAATACATTTAAAAAGCTCCCACTTGTATATGACTAAACAAAATAACATAGTTTTCTTGAGGTTCTGTTATAAATGTGTCTATTAGAAACATTAATTTAAATTTATTAATTATACAAAAAATGGTTTGAAATTAATTAAGACTTCCCGAGTTTTTGAAGGGAAGTCCTGAATGACTGTTATTAAAGGTCATTTCATAAATTTGAATGATTTTCAATGCCCCGCAGAAACCCTGCCTTTGTTGGAAAAGTAAATAAATTATTTGAATTATGTTTGATTAACCATCTTTAAATTTGCAACATCTGTTGTAAATATATGTATAGGCCTATGTTTAAATATATACATTTACTGTAATTTGAAATATTGTTACTGAAACGTGTTATAACATAACAAACATAATTAAAATTATTTATTTACTTTTCCAACAAAGGCAGGGTTTCTGCGGGGCATTGAAAATCATTAAAATTC